AATTTTTAGGCCCCGGTAGGGAATGAAACGCCACGCCTGATCAGGGCCTAATGTGGCTTTCCTAATCAGGGCCACATCAGGCATTTCATTCCCTATAATAGGGCGGCCTCGATCTGGGCTATGGCAAAATTCCTGCACGGATTCGGTTAGATTAGAAATTGATTTGAAAACAATTGATTATGATCAACTTTATTCGTACTGTTTCTTTAATATTTGATAATCTTTGCGTGGGGAAAAGAATTTTGTTTGTTTATAATTGCAAAAAAGTACTTGTGGATGTGTACTTGGCAAACTTTGGAAGAGAGAGAGAAACATTTTCCCCGAATTCAACCCTTCTCTACTATTGATGGTACAAATGCCGAGTAGCTTTCAAGAGATAGTAAATATTTGTCGAGGCCCAATGCATAACAGACCTTGAGAGGAAAAAAAAAAATAAAAAAAATAAAAAGAGTGCAAGGGGAAAGAAAATATATACAGAGATGAAAGGCATTGGAGCACGCGCTACTCTTTAACGGATTCTAAATGGGTTCTTCGCGAACATAGATTGTTAACACGCACACGCATCCTCGAAACTTATGTAATCTTGTCTCTTGTTTAAGAAATGATGTCCTCTTCAAAAAAAAAAAAAAAAAATCTTCAAGTTTATTTTTTCTCATAACTTTTTTTTTTTTGTTATTTCTGATTCTGAGTAGAAAAAATATTATTGAGACCTTTGAGTCTGCATTTTACTTAGTGTTATACTATATATGTATGTATAATTTTGCGTTTGCATTAGTCTCGAAACATTGTCATTGTTTAATGAGGGAAATATTTCATAACTTGCCGAGAGTTAGGCTATTTCTCTTTCTCTCTGTCCACCTAAAGTTTTAGTATATATATATATATACCTATATATCCCAAGTAAAGTTTAGAGTCTACGTGTAAGTAGTGACGTAAGCCGCAAGATATCCACTTTGCCCTCTTTGCGGTCTGTGGAATAATGAGCTTGGTTCGTCGTTGTAATGAGGGCGGCAAACTTCATCTCTCTAGCATAGTATACGCTAATTTCCAAGGCTATGGACAATGTGTCGCAAATATCTTCTCCGAATTCAAAATAATGCGTAACTATTTTTTTTATAAATTGGATTTTTTTTCTAAAAATTTTTTTTTTTTAAATTAATATAATATTTAATTCAAAATGTGAATAACTCGTGTTTTTTTAATACTTAGTCGTATAGTAGTTTCTGATCAAAGTTTCCGTGACAACCGTTGCCATAGCAAACGTTTCCATAGCAACTTTTCATAGTAACTCTTTCCATAGTAACCAGTACCATATAGTAACAGTTACCATAGTAACCGGTACCATATAGTAACCGGTACCATAGTAATCGGTACAATAGTAACTGGTATCATATAGTAACTGGTACCATAGTAATCGGTACCATATAGTAACCGGTACCATAAAGTAATCGGTACCATAGTAACTGATATCATATAGTAACCGGTACCATATAGTAATTAGTACCATATAGTAACAGTTACCATAGTAATCGGTACCATATAGTAACAGTTACCATAGTAATCGGTACCATATAGTAACTGTTACCATATAGTAACCGTTACCATAGTAACTGGTACCATATAGTAAATTGTACCATATAGTAATTAGTACCATATAGTAATTAGTACCATATAGTAATTAGTACCATATAGTAACAGTTACCATAGTAACCGGTACCATATAGTAACCGGTACCATAGTAATCGGTACAATAGTAACTGGTATCATATAGTAACTGGTACCATAGTAATCGGTACCATATAGTAACCGGTACCATAAAGTAATCGGTACCATAGTAACTGATATCATATAGTAACCGGTACCTTATAGTAATTAGTACCATATAGTAACAGTTACCATAGTAATCGGTACCATATAGTAACTGTTACCATATAGTAACCGTTACCATAGTAACTGGTACCATATAGTAAATTGTACCATATAGTAATTAGTACCATATAGTAACAGTTACCTTAGTAACCGGTACCATATAGTAACCGGTACCATAGTAACTCGTACCATATAGTAAATGGTACCATATAGTAACTGTTACCATATAGCAACCGGTACTATAGCAACCAAATTTCAAAAAGTGTGATTCTTTATGAAATTTTAACCCAAATTCTCGTCTTTTGTAGTCTGTTCGCTATGTTGAAATAAAATACATCGAGTTTATAAAGTTTAAATAATGGTAAATTGAATAAGAAAAGGAAATTTAAAAAAAGCAAATAGAATATCGATATAAAAAATTCGATTTTCATCAAGTGTATGAAGAGAAGTAGTTAATGGTGCCAATCGGCACTTGGCAATAAATAATGATGCCTCGAAAGTCATAAATATTAGTGCGTATAAAAATTTTAATTAAATTTTAATAGTATACGCGATACGCATTGGCTTCTTCTCGTGTATATATATATATATATATATATAGTGAAAGTCAATATTTTAATAACTTTTCTTGATTAGAGGATCATTAGATAAATGAGAAAATTTCTCCAATCACTTTATAAAAGTTTTGCGTCTCTTCTATATCTATATATTTTGTGGAGAATCAGTCAATTATCTTTGTCCATATTAGACGTGAGAACTTGCACCCGCGAAATCCAATATGGGCGGTTGTAATTCAAATGAACGCGCGGTAATTTGTAAATTTTCTTTATGTTAGAGAGCGCGCGCGCGCACACGACGTGGGAATATGCGCAGAGAGAATCGTTTTCAGTTTCGATGTGTTCCTTAAATTGGATACGCCTGACTCGATAGCTTTATCTATCCATAAATAGGAAAATGCTGTGTTGGGTGAAGTTATATAAATGTAAATTCGAGCAGGTCGTTGTGTATATATCGCGAGAGTAGACAAGATGTTGCAAAGTGGACCCAAGTTGTCTGTAAATTTTATGTGCGCTGAATTTTACGAATAGTTCATAATCTTTTGAATTTCAAATTATATAGAGATAATTTAAATGATTTATTTTTCTGATTTAAAAGTAACTTTCTTGAAGAAATTAAAGCATAATTTCTATATATATTTGACGCCTGGGATTATTTATTTAAATTGAAAAGTTATTTGAAAAATTCGAATAATTTGACAGGGAATTAGATATAGGGGAATATAAAAAGATTGATTTCAGGCTCTGTTTGACTCTTTTTTTTTGTATATATATTTAATTTTGCAGTCGGATCACGGTCGCCGCAGACTTAATGCGGTTTAACTTGGCTAAAAAGAAAAAAAAAGAGAGACTGGCGAAATATTATGAAAACATTGCGAGACATTGTGGCGCCGTGGAGACACAACCACGCCCGTTTTTAAACGACCAAAAGCCTTTGTTTTCGATTGACTATTAGTTACACAAATTAGCCCATAAAAACGCTGTTTCGTTTAAAGAACCGGAGATCATAAATAACGAAAGCGACTGTTGAGATAGTCTCAAATGCTAATCACATTTCACGATTCAGTATTTTCAGTTCAATATTTCTTATTCCTAGTTTTTTGGCGATGTTACTGTTTTAAATATTATGTAAATTTTATTTACTAAAACAGGTGAATTGTTGAGAGAAAAACTTTCTCCCTGAGGCGTGTATGTATTTTCTTATATTTATATATACAGGCATAAGTTCATTTCGAATCGAAAGTTTAAGTGTGTGTTCATTTATTTCAATTTACCTGCAACTTCACTCGTCATATATGTGTGTTATTAGCTTGTCGGAAATCATATGGCTATCAAAAAGAGAGAAAAGATTCCTCAGCATATTTCCTCGGCAAGGTTATATGTGCGCAATCGTGAGAAGAAAATTGTTATTAAACTTTCCCACTTCCTGTTTATATGTTCCGAGAAAAAACACACACGCGGGGAAAAATGAATTGTACTTAATAAACTTGGAATTTTTTTTTGGTTGTTACAACAAATCTGCATTGTTGTAATAACAAATTGAATAGTAATACTAAATAATATATTTGTTGGTTTAATAAGAAATTTATTGTTGGTATACAAATTTGTTGTAACTTTTACTATTTTAAAAGTAAAACCTGAACTGTCTGCACAGTTTCTGTGCATATGTCTGTCAATTTTTACTCCAGGTATAATAAAATTTACTTCTGAAATAGTAAAAATTATTCTGTAAATAGTAAATTTTACATGTCTGTCAATTTTTACTCCAGGTTTAGTAAATACTCCAGTATAGTACTGCTGAAATAGTAAAAATTATTCTGGAAATAGTAAATTTTACTATACTTGGAGTAAAAAATACCAGAAACTGCGAATAGTTTAGATTGTACTTTTAAAGTAGTAAAAGTTACTTTATTCGTTTTTCAATTTTTCTCCAGTAATATTGTTAGTGCAACAATAGAGATTTACTGTGGCGGCCAAACAAAATCTGTTAGGTTTTAGTTACAATTCTCTTTTCTCCATGCATCTGAAGTAATTGAAAACTTCTCATTAGTAGAGTTAGTTGTTGTTCAAACATGTATTGGTCATTTTATTATGAAAAGTTAGTACACATAAATAGCGTTGGATAAATTTAGTTGCGGATAATTTTAACTAATGTTTTTCTAATATTATAATTATGGTAAAATTTGTTGCAGTTAATTTTTATACCGATTTTGGGGTAAAAATTCTTTTTTTTTCTTATGTAAAATATCTGTTTCGATAGAGTCAATTCCGGAGTCAATTTGAAAGTCGATATAGTCTCGAGTTGTCTTCATTTCTCGAAAGGATTTATTTCAAGATAGTTTTCATCGTTTGAGGGTTCATCATCCAATTTGAAGTTGTGTGCCTCCTTAGTGGTGGTTTGGTTCATCGGATAGCACCGTAACCTACAACCTGTAGGATGAAGCTCCTCTATAACGGGGTCTTGAACACTATCTGTATATAAGTGCGCCGCTAACAAAGTTGTCAGTTCAATATAAACCAGTATCGCGGACATAGTATAGCTCTCTTCTAGTTGGTTATATATATATGTGCAACATGTACATCGTCTATGGATGCAGATGCAAACCAAATGGTGTTGCGAACCACAAGTGGAAGATATTTCTTGGTGACACAACAGAGTGGACTATACTCCATACGGTCAGCTCGTTAGTGGGCTGCATGTGGACTTGTCATACATCGGGAGTACGTGCTCAACCACCCGGCATCCGATGTCATAAACTTGCTCGTTTTTGCCCCGTTTCCTTCTCTTGTTTCTTCGCTACATCCTCTTTCTTCTTCTTCTTCTTCTTCTTCTTCTTCTTCTTCTTCTTCTTCTTCTTCTTCTTCTTCTTCCTTTTCTTGTCTTTTGGCCAATTGAAAAGTTTGTACTTCTGATATGTACCGTAAGATGCGTTGAATTCTCGAGAGACAAGTGCTATATATACTGATATTATATACTTTTGTAAACGGCAGGTGTCGCTCGTTTCGTTCGCATTTTTTATCCTAAAAAGAGAAAAATATAAATACTTTCTTGGAATTGTTCTTCTTTTTCGGATAGTTATGTATTTTAAAAATTTGCTAATTTCAGTTACACTGCAAAAAAAAAAAAAGGCAAATATTTTATATTTTGCTCTAATACGAATTTGGAAATGAAAAATAATTGTGTAATAAGTGAAAGTATTTAAGGAGACATTATAAAGTCCCCCTTTTATAATCTCGCGCACACGATATTGAAGTTGAGAATTTTATACGGTTTCCCGTAAAGTGGAAGTAGAACTTTCGAATGGCTTGATTCTTGAACGCCTACACTTCCACCTTCTCAGCGGTTGGTTCTCTACTCCCCGCGAACCGATTCGCTTTGCTCTCTCGCTCGTTACAAGCCGCTTGTCACCTGCGTTTGTATTCTGTCGTTAGTAACGCCGTCCGCTCACTTTGGTTCGAGTTCCATGGAAACTGTTACAGGATAAAATAATAATAACAACACTAATAATAATAATAATAATGATAATAATAATAGACAACGCAGGCACGACTCATGCAAAATTGTCGAAATGTTTTCATTCTTTTATAAAAGTTTTTCTATTTTATATATATACACACACATGGTTGGTTTTATAATGGCTAAACAGAAGCGAATATTTAAAACGCGCATGAGTTATGTGATTAGGGCACTAGGTTCTGTAAAAGGAAATTATTTCTTCATACACCTGAAACGTAATGCGCTTATATACATGTGGAGAATTTTCCTGATCTCGATCTATAAAGACTTGACATGAAAAAAATTTCTACATATATGCGAAATTTTTCTTTCTTTCTTTCTTTCTCGAAATGGTCAATTAGTTTCTTTTTTACGTTTAAAAAGAAGAATTAATTTTTATTTTTTAAATATAGCCTATATTGTTTGGTTTAGTGTATTTTTTGGAGTAGGTTATTGAATATTAGAATTGAAGGGAAAAAAAGTGATATTGGTGGAATTAGTAGTTTTTGTTACATTGGGAACAAAAATTTAAATGACAAAACTACAAAAATTTATACAGAAAGTTTCTGTGAGAAGAAGAAGAAGAAGTAGTTTGAATCTCCACTGAGAGGCTTGGTCCAATATTTTATTTTCCAAATGGAGATAAAATTCGATACTGAAAAAAAATTTATTTGATTCAAATAATCGGTTATTTATTATTAATATTAATATTATTAATTATTATTTAAAATAATTATTATTTGAGTCAATTAAATGGTTAATTTGTTTCAAATACAGAAATTATTGGTTCAAATAAAATTTATTTCATTCAAATAAAAATTATTTGGTTCAAGTAAATATTTATTTGATAATAGTCAAGTAATCGTGTATTTAAATCAAATAAATTTTTTTTCAGTGTAGAAACATATTCAAATTTCACATTCTCACAGAAAGCAATGGATTTTTCATTCGTATCCTTTTGTACATTTTTTGAGTTTTGTCATTTATATTTTTTTGTTCGCAATGTCAAAAACTAATTTTGTTTAAAATTTTATATCTTAAGTTTTTTGAGTTAAAAATTTTTTTTGTATTCTGTATCTAAAATAGATTATCATTTTTTTCTTGTCTGAGATTATAATTTTTTTTTTTGTGTAAGATTATCATTTTTTTTTTTTGTGTGACGAATATCGTGGACACGGTTATGCAAATACCATATGGAGGGATGACAGTGGCATTAGTTAAGTAATGGAATGTCCAATTACAGGCAGACCGACATCACGACTTAAGCACCGCGGGCGTGCGTCCGGCACTGGTAGCTAAACGAAACTAGCATTTTTGATGAAATAACGAGGTTGTTACGCGCTCATGACGTTCAGTATGTTGATTCTAGTCACGTTGTTTTCCAAGACACACAGTTTTACATATGTCTCTATTTATGTAAATATATTTTATACATATATATGCGGCTTGAGTGGGAAAAAATTATTATTTTCTTTTTAAACTTTGAACTGTTTTTATTATTTTTTTTTAAACAAACTTTGTTTATTTTTGTTAGAATATATTTATAGAAATGTAAGAATTATTTCGACACATTCAATCAAGTTTTTTTTTCGGTCTTTCGATTTTTTTCGATGATTATTAGCTGGTAGTTAACTTTGCCTTTTATGTTGCAATTCTGATTTTACGAACAGTAATTGAAGTTTTGAAGGCAAGTGACCCTAATATGGCTTTAACAAATTTCCAAATGGAAATGGGTTTTCGGTTTACAAATTGTAGCTAATCGCAATTTCTTCGTTTTAGTTTATCTTGAATATTTCCTATCTTATTTTATAAATATTTTGTACTAATTGTTTGAGATAAAGATTTTTTTCCGTGATTAATATATAAATTCCAATTATATTCCGGATATTAAATTCATTAAGGGAGACTCGAAATTTTCGTCTTATATGGATGTTGTATATTTTGCTACTTGACATTCCCGCATGTAAATTCATGTATGGTTTAATGGCCAAATCGGAAGAAGCTCTCGCGATTAATTTGAATTCTAATTGGAGTGAGTGTTTAAAGAGGGTGGAATTGCGTTGTTCAGTGAATTCTCTTCGTTCCTTAATGTAATAAAAGGTTCCACGCGACATAATGAGAGGGGAGGATGAGAGTCATCGTGTTTACTATCAGTGACCACGGTTGCATCACATTAGTCGAGTGTATATTTACGGTCAATGGTATACATAAGGAACATTAGCAAAGGGGCCCAATATAAGTATATATATATATATATATATACGTAAATGGAGAGTAATTCGCAACGCGCGACATGAGAGTATAAACTGCTCGGGTTCTTTTTCTCCCCTTTCACATTGTCCCGCGAAATTAGCGCGATAAATTCCCATGGGATATATTGCGACTTTTACACGGAATCCTTAAGCCATTATGGAAAGGCTTTATAAAAAGGATCTTGCTCAAGGTTGTAATGTGTATTTTAAGTAAGGGAGTAAATGTAGATTTTTTTTGAGGTTTCTTTTTTTATTGTGGTAAACAAATATTCTGTAGAGGAATTTAAAAACAAATGTTCAAATTTTCTTCTTTTAATACAAAAAATTCTTAGCAGCGGTTGCTAAGGATAAACAGGTCATGGAAATGGTTGCTATAGGAACGGTTTCTATGGTACTGGTTTCTATGGTAGCGGTTACTATGGTACCGGATACTATATGGTACCGGTTACTATGGTACCGGATAGTATATGGTACCGGATACTATATGGTACCGGTTACTATATTATACCGGATACTATATGGTACAGGTTACTATGGTACGGGTTACTGTATGGTACTGGTTTCTATGGTACCGGATAGTATATGGTACCGGATACTATATGGTACCGGTTTCTATGGCACCGGTTACTATGGTACCGGATAGTATATGGTACCGGTTACTATGGCACCGGTTACTATGGTACCGGTTTCTATGGTACGGTTACTATATGGTACCGGATACTATATGGTACAGGTTACTATAGTACCGGCTAATAGATGGTACCGGTTACTATATGGTACCGGCTACTATATGCTACCGGATACTATATGGTACTGGTTACTATGATACCAGTTAATATGGTACATTTATGGTCACGAAATCCTAAAAATAATTTTTTTTTAGAAATATTGTTATTCGTATGGAATTTCTAAATAGAAATTTAAAGTGATTTGATTTATTATATATATATTTAAAGATGTAACATTAGACAGATAACCGAAAATTTTCTATTCCGGAATGGACCGTTAGAGGTTGCGAATGACTCAAAGGCTTAAAAATAGCCGGCAACACGGATGTCTTTTGACGGGAATAGCACAAGATAACAGAAGGCTTCTACGGATAAACGGTAATCGGCACTCGCGCGCGCTCGTATAAGAAACTGTACACCTGCGTCCGTCGACGAGATTGTAATTTGGTTAGGGTATATCTTCGTTCGCCGTTAGTGTCAATGCTCCCTCCGCGTGATTTGCCATCGCTAGAGATTCTCGAATAACAATATAAAATTTCTTGTCTTATACGCAACAATTATAATTCTCTATTTCTTAAAAAAAATAACAAAAACGATATTATTTTTTAATTTGATTTTTATGAAAAAAGTAATAATTTTTTTTTTATTAATTTTTTAATTATTTCATCTCGAACTCTGTAAAGAATTAGTAATAATCTTAACTCAAATTAGTTAAAATTTTTACTAATTCTTTAGATATAATATGGTAGCGAAACAATATTTTTTTCATTAGTAAATTAAATCACTGCGTGTGAAATAATAATAATAATTGGCATTTTGTTATTTATAATATAATATGGAACTGAAAGTGCTGAGTTATTTACTCGACGTGGATTATATGTTATCAGACGGTTAAATGTAAAGAAACATCTGAGAGAGAAGAAAAGGACGAAAAGTAGGTAGAGGATGAGAGAACGACAAGTTAAACGAGTATATCTATATATATATATATATATATATATATATATATATATATGACGCTCCACGAGAAAAGGGACCTAACGTGCTTTTGACTTAAGGTTCATTCACTGTGTCATTGCACGGTAAAAGCGAACCTTAAGTCAAAAGCACGTTAGGTCCCTTTTCTCGTGGAGCGTCACATATATATATATATATATATAGTGGAAGCGGGATATGTAATCGACTATAAGAAAAAGACAAAGATGAAAAGACGACATGTGCGCGTCCTTGAGCTTCCTCTCTGCTGTCTTTGAAGACTATCACAACTCAACACCTGAGAAAAAGTAAA